CAATCGCACAAGATAATCAAAACACCACAGGTAGCCAACTAAAGGAATAATCAAGGAGACACACCAAATCATTGAGATCCCTGCTGATGAGGTGGAGGAGGGGGCAAAAACTAGGGGGAGAGGTCGGGCAATGAATGCTTGCTCAATCGCACAAGATAATTGAGACACCACAGGTAGCCAACTAAAGGAATAATCAAGAAGACACACCAAATCATTGAGATCCCTGCTGATGAGGTGGGGGAGGGTGCAAAAACTAGGGGGGAGAGGTCGGGTAATGAATTGCTCAAATGAACAAGATAATCAAAACACCAAAGGTAGCCCACTAAAAGAATAAACAAGGAGGCACTCTAGATCATTGAGATCCCTGCTGATGAGGGTACAATGTAGTTCATTAGCATTTATTTCTTTTAATCCTGTTGCAGTTCAAGTGTGAGCCTGATAGCCAAGATCACGTCACCATGGTAGATGAACCATCCTCGTGTACCTACGTAGTGGTAGTACACACAGAAAAGCTCTGCAACCATCCATTATTCAAACCACCGGCAGACAATAAGCCGTTACCTATAACCTGCTCTCCTGCTCTGCCTCAAGATCATTATCAAATGTACCTTGACACACTTGGTTAGTAGGACTACTTACTACACAAACAATAATATTACCTTTAAGGTTTCTTTTTACGTAGGTGTCATTAAATATTCAGTTGTTGTTTCATCTACATATAATTATTATTTTCTGAGTTTTGGATCTTATGCTGGCTTTGTATGTAATCAATTAAGTCATCCTTCCAATTGAGACACCTTATTCCCTGATGATGGATCTAAGATCCAAAAGCTCAGAAAATAATAATGATATGTTGATGAAACAACAACTGAATATTTAATAATATTGCCATCAGTGCATTAATGATTGAGAAAAGTGTCAGTGCTCTAGCATGAAACATGAAAAATTGCAGTGCTTTGATATTAGCCAGCCACGTTTGTGACACATTTGAACAATAATTGCTTGTAACTCTACAGATATTTGCCTTCGTACTTTAAAACTGTTCACATTCACTTGTGGTCAACGTCTTTCAGTTGGTGACAAAACTGCCGGTCCCCCCATTAAGTTATATTTTGATTTATGAAAACTAGAGCTAAGTCTACATTTATTGGAATTTGTGAAGAGAAAGGTGTCTGCTATTCATTGCAGAGCACCGCCAACCTGTTGGCTCAGTTGGTTGAGCATCGGACTTTCGGGAGGTCGTGATTCGAGTCCCGGCTGAGGAGAAAGTGCTGCCTTTGTAATTACATGTACATTCTGCAAATGGTTAGACTTTCAAGTGGCTCAGATGACCACTTTAAATGGCGGTCCCATCTCTCCACACTCATCATTACTAACCAATATCGGAGGGATGTAAAAGGACCACTGAGGACGTAAAGAAACCCTGGCAGTGACCACCCTCAGTGCCTCCACTTCATACTAACCATCTCTCATGTTTGTAAATTGCACAAAAACCAATCTGTCATTCACAACACAATGTAAAGTTCCTTTGATTATATCCATATATAAATTCATAAATCATCAATCATTATGTTTAATTCCATTTCTGATATAGACATATGTGACCATTCTCCTAACAAAGGTTTCATGTCTTTCGGTCTTCAAAACTAACCGAAAACTAACCCTGGTCTCCCTTTTTTCGTAGAACGTGAGAAGAAAGCAAAAGCAAAAGCTCTAGCAGACAAAATCAAAAAGTTGCAAGAACTAGATGAAGATGAGGACATGTTTGATGATATTACTTGGGGAAGTAAGGAAAGAAAACCTCGTAAAAGTGAGCTTTGGCCATGGAATAACCCTGGGGTGGAGAACAATGATGAAACATGGCTCAGTGGGAACATAGGAAAGAAGTCTATTGGAGTCAGTAGAATGGATATTATCAAAGGACGCATATTAAAGAATGATGAGGATGTGACTGGGCAAGAAAGGACTGTTACCATCACGAGTAGAGGAATGAACCAAGATAGAAAACCTGCCAAGTAGGTTTTTTACTCACATGTACACTATTTAATCTTTTAAAGCTAAATAGACTTCTTTAGCTTGGGTGCATGTAATGTTTTCCCATTTCAGACCATGTGTCATTCCCTAAAATATCATTTCTTCGTTTAACGTTTGTGCATGAGAAGACACATGAATATGGATACATCTCTAACAAAGAATCTTATTCTCAAGAGAATGACACATGGTCTTAAAAGGGAATTTATCACCCAAGATAGTAGTATGAAAAGGGAGTGGTTTTGTGTAGGTTAAGCTCGAAGAAGATGGAAAGAGTAGCTATCAGTCCACTTCAAGAGAGTCTTGTTTACAGGCACAGTAAACACGGCTGGTAGGCTGGTGTGCACTGCTAATACGCTGCCCTGGACCCCGTCCTGTTAATAACTTGCTGGTTGCCTCCTGCACTTTAAAAATTTGATGTGAAACGCTTTAACAACCAGCCTGTTTTGGGAGACCTGTGTGATCAACGTAAACTGTGTTACACTTATACAAACTGCATTTTCAAGGTTTACATCAAGAGAAAATGAACTAAGAGAAGGAATTCCCCCTATATAGCCTTGTAACCATCATGTGCACAGTTTGATGCTATTTTTAATCCATTTGTTTTTCATACGCGCGCTCTACGCTGTTTGCTTACGTTTTTGGAATTTTTTCCGTTATTTCGACTCTGCCATGAATATGAATGTGCACGTCGAAAGCTTGGCAAATACAACAGGAAATTGAAGTAGTAATTTGTTCAACTTTCTGGAGTACTTTTACATTTTTATTTTCCAAAGCTTTCGACCTACATCGTCATCTTGAGGGCAGATTTGAACATTTGAACATAAGAAAAGCACAAGAAAACGTTAGCAAACAGCGTAGAGCGCGCGCGTACTATGCGCATGCAGAAAATCGAACGATCAAATAAATGATATTTTGGATGATATTTTTAGAATAGATTCTAAAAATAACATCAAAGTGTGCACATGATGGGGCACGGGGATTCCTTCTCTTAGTTCATATTCTCTTGGTTTACATGAATATTGTGCAGTGTATTATTTTTCGTTGACAACCAACCACACTTGTATTACAGGAACAATGCTGAGGCTGTTGAGGGAAACGTGAAAAAACAACAGAAGCAAGAAGACAGCTCAAACATGAAAACAAAAAAACAACAAACAAACAAGGATACAGATGGAACAGAGGCTGTCGGTAAAGACATAAAGGAAGGGAATAACGAAGATATTCATGCAGATAATGTCAAGGAAGGAGGTAACAAAGACATAAAGCTTGGTGTATTTACACCAACTTCGTCTTCTAAAGTCGTCGGCAAAGTGAAAGAAGATGAAGAAAGCAAAACTACTATTGATGGGGAACATACACTACAAGATGATTTAACTAAACAGCAGAGTAGTGAACGTAAACAGAAGAAAAAGAGAAGCCTGGAAGAAGAATGGAAGGAAGCACTAACCAAGGCCAGGGATCACTTTCAAAGTGTAGTTCGTAAACAGCTGGAAGGAATGGGTGTGGACCCTGATGGTATGATGTAAAACACATTTTTCGCTAAAGAGCTTCTAATAGATATGAAGCGACTTGAAGTTGTGAAAGGCCTCATATTTAGTCGTTTCATCTAAGGCTCGTAATAGACCAGTTTCGAATTCCAAATTACCGCTGTGTTCCTTGATTACAGACTCATTTACACAGGGTTAGCCTCGTATCAGTGTTGAAATATTCAAAAATACCAACAGAAAAGTAAAGAATGCACAACTTCAACAATACAAACATTTTAAAACTCGACAGACCTTGACTGGAACACGTGAATATTCTGCACAAACTCGAGGCTAACCCTGTGCAAATGAGTCTGTAATCAAGGAACACAGCGGTAATTTAGAATTCGAAACGGGTCTATTTACCTATTACGCATGTTCTTATACGATTTCCGAGCCCATCTCACGCGGCTTACCGCCTCATCTCTCATGTACTACGTTTTCGCGGGATTCTACCAACTCACTAGATACACCGTGCCGACGACGCCTAATACAGGCCAAAACAGCTGTCCACGGTTTCTAGTTGAGCTGGGTCATTTTATGCAACTTGGCCCTCTTCTTCAGTCGTTTTATATTAGGCTCGTAATTTACCTATTGCGCATGTTCTTATGTTGATGATAGGGGTGCAGTGGTAAGAAGTTTTGATCTGAACTATGACCTCTATCACTGGTCTTAGGTTCTATTCCTGGACTCGGCAATGCACCCTTCTTAAAATTGTCTTGAATGCAAGGATAACATGGAAATACAAAATCAATGCCACAAATTCCATTGAGAAAAGTGTGATTTCTTTTGTGTTTTCATGTTAGCCTGGCATGTACGATACGTTTGAGGTCCATTCACATATGACTAGAGTTTGCTAGTTCTCGTCCATGATTCTCGAGGTGTTTTCATCTGGTTCTCCAGCTTTCCTGCCTCTGCAGAACCTAACACACTAAATACCAATTCATTCCGTGAGTTACAAAAGGTATTTTGCTTTGACAGAACTTGAAGAGAGAGTCAAATTCATGAAGGGATTCAACAAACCCATGAAGACCACAGTGCCGGACAAGAAGAAACCAGAAACAAAAGAAGAAGACCAAGATCAGAAGAAACAAGAAGAGAAAACGAAGATGACGTTAGATCCCACCATAGATGGACTCAAAGCTGCTGTAGATAAAAAACTAGAGAATCTGATGCAATCAGTGACACAGAAGGAAGAAGAAGGGAAGTAAGTAATACTGTTATATTACTGATTATGGTACTAATCCCTGATCCGCCATCGGTTCAAACCCCTACGAGATCTATGATTTTTTCACCGATTTATTCAATACAATGTTTGCTCAGTCTTAGCCTCGAGTGTGTAGAAATGCGTTCTTTTCTTTTATTAAGGTCCATTGTATTATAAGAAATGTAATATCTACAGAACGATATATAGCTGAATATTATAACACACAACCGAGACTAAGGCTGACCAAAAAGTATTAAAACTGGAGTATTGTATCGTCGAGTTTCTTTAGCACCGTACATGCGTTCTGGTGGTACCCGGTCCACTTTCCTTATAAATATTCACGATTATATGTTGCAATAGAGGAATTTCTTTTAAAAGTAGTAAAGATTTTAGTAGAAGTGAGAAACTCTACTCGCTTAGTGAAGGTTGAAACTGAACCCCACTATATAAACGTGTTGTTAGACCAGAACCGATTCTTTTTTATTATGATGAGAAGATCACTTCATACTATTTACAACAAACGGATCATCCTTTCCCAAACACCTTCCGTATTTCATATTCAGTGGAAATAGGGATCGGCCCCCCTGAGCCGGACCCCCCTGTCTAATGATGCCCCTGATGTGGGGAAGGATGGCATCCACGAAACCAACACATGATGATGATCTGAGAACTAGCAACTGAAGTAAAATTAATAAATAATACTTATTCATTTGTCTCACGATTGAGGGTCGTTTGTAGAAGAACTGCAACGTTTTGAAGTAAACTAGCATATTTCTGCCCAATGAAATGAGATTATTTACTATGTCATTTCTTGCTCGTAGATTGGAAAAGAACAGCAAAGAGAAGCGAGTGTTGGCAAACATCAAGAAAATCATGCAAGGAATGGATCACCAGAATGTGTTACTCATGAAAAAAGAAGAGACCCTACAAAGAGAACTCGAAAACCACTTCGAGGAACTTCGAGATCGCTTCAACATGGAACTCACCATAATGAAGAGGTTGATCGACGACATTGAGCAAAAAAGGATTGATGCAGCTGAAGGAGAGGAGGAAGACTATTTGAAGAATATTGTGGAGAAGTTGAAGACATCTGTACATCGCTTTGACGCCTCAAACAAGTAAGATACCCTTAGAAGGGATTGAACCACTTACTCTCTAGGGACTGCAGAGGGGGATGGGCTGCGGAGAAGTCCCTTTGGAAATGTAACCCTAAGACATGAACCCTTGCTACATGCACCAACATACTCTGAACATGACCACAATCAAAAACACTTTGCTCCGGGAACCCTGTGGAATCTTTACTAGCTTCTTTTTCACCAGTAACAAAATGAGTAAAACGACTTGCAGTCACTGTGCCAGGTTACGGTAATATGTTTTTGAATTAAGATTACCTTGACGTCTTGACGTGTCTTGCGTGTTTAGAAGTGCTATCCACAAGTGGCAGTGACACAAGTGCAAGGGGGGAGAGGGGAGGGGGTTCATTTCACTATAAAGTTCGTCACAAGCAAAAAGGAAAGACAGAATCTGAGTTTGAACTTCGTACGTGTGTCGCTAATGAAAACTAAGCTTTCCTTGTTTCTGACATCGTTACAATATTCAACAGGGCTTTATCCAAAGACATGGAAGCTGTAAAGGAACTAAACAAAGAGGTCCACAACAAGATTGATGACCTGGTTGCAGGAAAAGAAGGCAACAGGAACAACAAAGGGTCTGATTTCTTCCGTTTAGCGGCAAAAGCAAACCTGTTGTTGCGAAGACTTCTGCAGAGAAGTGCTCAGCTCGACAAGGACATGCGAGCAATGAAAGAAGTAAGTGACGATATCAAGGCCAGAAAGGAGGAATACTTTGATGACTTTAGTGGTGAAAAGAGCGCTGGTTTAAAAGAGAATGCTGAACTTGAAAAAGAAGCGGAGTTAAGGTTGAGCAGCATCGTGCAAAGGTTAAAGAAAATGTTTAAGGGGTTAAATGAAGGGAATCTGGAAACAGACGACAAAACAGGTAATTTTGGATCTGAAGATCCGATAGAAAACCAAGACATGGACGCCACAGGAATCCCACCATTTAGCGACGACAGTATAAGGGTGCGTGTTACTAAAATAAAAGGCGATGATGGCAAGACTGCTTGGTCAGAAGGTGATGACAAGGAGAAAGGAAAAGCTGAAAATGAAATGGGAGTTGAAGAACGTCTGATGAGGGCTTCTAAAAGAATGGAAAAATTGGTCAAGAAGCAGTTAAAAAGTGCTGGAATTTCTCCAGGAGGTAGGTACAGTAATGGAGGAAGGAAGGCTCTTGCTCAGATGCCAATGTTGGTCATGTAGGGAAACTTGTTTATAAAGCATTTAGCAAATTTAACTGGGATATCAAATTTAATTTTCACAGAAACCAGATGTTTATCATTCGTAATAGAGTGCAAACAATTAATCCGTGAAACACTACTAAATAGTACAAAATAGTGCTAATTAAACAATAGAAAACAATGGAATTCGCATGAAATTGTGCTACTTAGTATACTAAAGTTTCACGGTTATATTGTTTGCACTCTATAGTGTTGCTGTTTTGACGCGAAGGGATTGCCTAAATCTACCCGAAGGGAAATAGATCCTCTGGAGCCCCGGGTACCTTTAAGGAGCTCTTTCGGTATGTCAGTGGATCATGACAGTGAACAGGAGAATAAAGCAGTGCACACAGCTATTACTTCTCAGCTTGAATCACATATACTTCTAACTTAACTAAAATTCCAGCTACGTATGTAAACAAATGATTTTTTTAATGAAATCATGTCAACTTTGTTGATGCTTATCCTGATGTGTTGTAGGGAAAATTCGTGTGAAGATTATAACATCACGAGATGCACTTGATAACCTTGGCAGTAACAAAGGCACGGAGTTACTGAGTGATGAAGAAACAAATCAGTTCAAGGACATGATTATGACCCTCATGGTAAGAAACTCGTTCTACTTCCCATTAACATCACGTGGAGATGCCAGTGAACACTGAAATTCTTGTTGGTGCAGCAGGCAATGGCATACCAACGCCCTACACAGGGCATAGCCAGGATTTTCCAAAGGGAGGTGGAAAGTATAAAATCCACCAATTTGTTTAGGCCCCCGAAATGCCGAACCGAAAAAAGCTGTTATAATTTAATTTGCGTTTTAATGTTGCAAAACTTAGGGGAAAAATGAAATTACCATATAAATGTCAAATGGCCGCCATTTTGTTGTCATGAAGGAGGGGAGGGGGCATGACCCCCTCACATTTTTACTATCACCAGAAAGCCTACAAACTCCACACCCTTTTTAGAAGGGGAAAGTTTGTCTGAGCCACACATTTATTACATAATAACTTTATTTCAATCAATATTTTCCATACAGGGTGGGAGTCCTGAAGCTGGAAATGAAAGGAAGAGACAAGCAGAATTAGAAAACAACTATAATCTTGTTTGGGGTGAAAATAAAATGAAGAAAGCACCACCAGAACAAGATGAAGAACCTGATGCTGAACTTGTTTTTGATGACACAGATGGATTTTAATATGAAAAATAGATAAAGGAAATAATTTATATTAGGAGCCAGAAAACATTTCTTAACAGCGGTTGACTTGTACTATAAGCTAAGCTTACAGTTTGATCCCATGCAACCTGTGAAATAGTCACTAGTCTAATATCTTAGCAGATACAACAAACTAATAGTTGCTAATGATTTGAAGATATCAAAAACAAAAACAAATAAAAAAACACTCCAATGCAAGCAGACATAACCGCATTAGCCATTCCAAGGTTGCATTGCATTGTGGGGCTGGTTAAAGGGACATTTTCCAAGATGGCACCTATTTCATCTCCTAACTGGCCCACAATGAACTGCAAATACCAAATCAACCCAGTTTTTCCATCAACCTCAGAATGGCCTAATGATTTGACACTGAAGTTATCTTATATTTAATGCCATTTGAAATGCATTATAAGTTTATCACTCCTGCACATACAAAATAGGTGCAACCAGAAAATTCTTTGTTTTGCTTGTTATTTCATTAGAAATAATTCAGCAAGGCACTCCAATKTAATCAAAGAATACTAAAGCTTTTATTATTTATTACTAAGACACATACAGTGTTCTTAAAGAACTGTAAATTTGTTAATTTAAATAAATTTTATAAAACTATTTAAACAAATGAAGTTCACTTATCCAGTTACTGACAACTGCAGAAGAGTAAGTTATACACTGGATCAAAATATGGTAACCAATTCTAATAACTATAGCGCAGCGCACTGATTCTAAGAATAGCTTAAAGATTCGGACAAACATTGCATTCTGTTTAACCGCTACAAGGATTATACGAACCAATTTTATTATTTTTACTTAAAGTTACGATAATAACCCATACTAAGATCAACTGTCGCCTTTGTCTTCGTTTTTATGACGTCACGGTTGCGCTGAGCTATTATTCTGGACTGCCTAGTCTCTCTTACATTCTCACAAATGATAAAAGAATTTTAAGACACAATGACAAAGTTGGCTTTCATGATTATTTTATTTTTCTTGTAAGTTTTTGAGCAAGGTTCAAAAAATAGCAAAGAAACTGTACAAGGTTCTGGGAAGGTGGTGTGTCAAGGCGCCAAGGCAGTTCTAATTTATTACAAGTTTTAAAATTTTAATATATATCCGAGCGATGAAATTCCTACATCGTAAGTTCCTGAAAGTAGGRAAAAAAAAGGCAATTTTTTTAGAAATTTTAGGAATAATTACCATGTAATGAGTTCTATAGGAAAAAGAATTTAAAATTTTTTGATCGTGGACTTTAAATTTTCATGTATAATAAAACATCCCAAGTGCAGAGCTCCTGCACACATTGCAATCATTAGGTCGTTTTGCGCATGAAAAGGATTATTTGCAATTTTGGCAGGTAGTAGCAGCCTTGAAGTCTACTGTACAGTCATGAAGCTAATGGTACTTACCATGATTGCATTGACAATATCTTGGTAGTTACTTTTAAGTGCTTTGACAGCCTGAAATAAGAAGACAGTAGTTTAATCTTCAGTACAAAACAACTGGACTGAAACTGGTGCATGTTCCTTCAATAGAGAATGATTCATTCAAGTACAGTTTCCTCTATTAAACAACCATTTTCAGTAAATAATTGTCAAGTGGTCAGGTAAAAAGTACTTCAAAAACTGTTAGGTAGGCCAATAAAAATAGGTGGCCACTTAAGAGAGGTTCTACTGCAGTGTTACGCAATACATACCTTGGCTCTGGAGACATTAGCTTGTTGCATTACAAGTTCAATGTCTTTTGATTCTACTCCAGTCTCGTCAACCTGAATCAAAACCAAAGCAACTTGTTACTCATTTACACCTTTTAACAGTCTGTTCTATTATTGTAGCTAAGACTGTAGACTGATCCCCATCTTGTTTGCTTACTTCACTTATTATTATTTTGCTATCAAAATCAGGCACTGATGGAAAGAAAAGCTTTCAAGAAGATAAATAAATGAATACCAGCTGAGTGGTGAATTTTATTTCAGCCAATCACAGTGTGTTTAGATGTTTTGCAGACGGCCCTCATTAACAGGCTACTGTAACCCAACTTTTGCATATTTTTCTGTTTTCTTTTGACTAAAATATAATATATGTGCCTACAAGAAGCAGAAATACAGTATGGAAAGGAAGACTAAAAACAATTACACTTTAGCGCCACATTTGCTTCATTCTTTCAAGCTCCAAAAATGCTTAGGGCCAATCATTTTGTTCACTGCTCAGCTGGTACCAAACTTTACTATACTAACAATTTACTTCTACAAATATGTTGCCCTCAGCTCTCATAATCTTATTGATCATTGGCCACCATCCAACCTAACCTTCCAGCTGTTGTGCACCACATCACACACACTCAACACACTCACAGACACATTACACACAACAGCCTTCCAATCAGATGGACCTTTCCTCTCCATAAGGCATCTTTTTTTCATCATAGGGCAACTCAAACACAAACCTTTTTTTTTGCCAAATAAAATGTTTTTGACTAAAGACAAATATTTCAAATCCTTCTGATGAAGGCTATCACTTGTTTTTGCCGAAACGTCATGTTTCAAAAAATTTTATGAGCTTTATGCCTAATCTTACATTTAACTAAACAAAATATTGTTACAGTTTGAAGAACTGCAAAGGGCTTACAGGTTTGCCCTTAGGAGGCAAGAGCATTTTCTTTTAAGAAGCCCTTATAATGAAGTATACACTTTACAATTCTYTTACCTCAAAGTCAAGCCGATTTCTTATCTAGATTTTGCTCTTCAACTTTTCTCAATCATTTGCTGCTAGCAAGACATGGAGTCCAAATACAGTTCATACAAAGTATGGAGCCCGTTTCTGCATGACTTCATATCAACATGCTTGAACTCCATGCCTAGTTTATCATCTCATAGAGAATAGTCGTAATGATAAAAAAAACTCTTGCATATATAAACACACCTTTGCTTCTCCAAATGCAATGTACAAATCTGATGCAGGACTCTTGAATACTTCTGGTTTGTTGATCACAAATAATATATTTTTGGATTTTCTGATGGTAAGTCTTGTAACACCAGTAACAGACTTCAGTCCTAGTTTAACAATAGCTTTTCTTGCTTTCTTTTCACTTCGACTTTGTCTAGTTTTGCTGACTGGCTCCTCATTCAGACCTGCAGCGGCAGCCATGTCACTTGTTATATTCGTTTGTTGGGCTTCACCTTCTTCAAGTTCTGGCATTTCATCGTCACTGTCACTTTCAGTTCCAGAAGCAATGGCTAAGATTAAAAACAAGAACATGTAAGCATGAAAAAAAAAAACCCACAAGTTTAATGGATATTTACGGTTTGTTTAAGATACGATACTAATTTGGTTTAATAAAAAAGTTTAAATAATATTAACTTACTAAAGAAAAACCACTAAGCTTTAAGTTTAATACAAAACACATAATACCAAGAAAATAAACAGGCTCACTTGACTATTGAGTGATTGTTTTACGACTTTCTGTGACCCACGTGCCTTAAAATTGTGGAAATGGAACTGTAGGAATGTTAGCCTTTACAACAAAACTTCTATTTTGTCATGTCGAATTGTCATGTCGATTGAGATCTTTTTCCATAAGTATAGATAACCCAGATGTATAAAAATATTCACATATGGGGTGTTTCGAAGAAAAAAATATTGCAAGATGCAAAGAGAGATAATTTGACACACCGAAAGAAGAAATGTTCTGTTGCTAGAAATATTAGATAATTCTTCTCCCGCTGTCAGCGCAGAAGGAGGAACTTATAGTTAAAATAAACTCGAGAGATAAGTATTTTATGAAATTATGCTCTGCGATGATTTACCTTCATTTGTGTTTTCTTCTGCTGTTGGAGGGTTTTCTACTRCAGGAGTCATCTATGATAACAACCGTCAAAGTTTATGAATCAACATCGAAGCGAAATATTCATATTATTTCTTAAAAGTTACACAGAATCATAGCATATATAATAGACTTAAGGAATGATATAGTTATGAAGTAAATAATTCAATAGAATAGAGGATGGAGATAGATTTTGTACAGACCTTGACAGAATCGGTATAGTTTCTTTACCGAATGTGATGGAAAAGACCATGTTTATCACCGCAATGTCTTATGGGAGACATGACCTCAACACAGGAATCCCGTCACATCTATATCAAGCGATGACAAACTCCTCAGGCCACTCCCGCAAAATTGAAGTTATATATATATATATGTGTGTGTGTGTGTATATATATATATATATATATATTTTTTTTTTAATGAAGAAAAATAGGGAATCAGAGGAATGAAAAGTTGTTACAACATATATAGAGTAAATGATATACTCCATTTGCCTTTTGTTTTTTAAACAAATTTTCGGTCTCGAAAAAATTGATTTTTCAAGTTCTTTTCAGCAAGAAAATTATAGGAACTACACTAAGAAAAGAAAACCAGTTAATCCATTTTGTATAAACGAGCAGGGTCAGGGTTGATTGGCGCGGTTAAATGTAACGGACTAGTGTCACGTGACTTCAACGTTGCCAATAACTTTCCGCTCCTCAGTCGCTGAAATGGACTGGACATGGAGAGATTTCACTGTTGCATACAAAGTCTTATACCACAATAATTATAACGTCTTTGTCCGTTTAGTCGAGAGGATGAAACGTGACAGTAGGCAAGTAGCACTGATAAGTCTGTGGCCCTCGATGTTTAACGTCACGGCTAATTAAGCGACCGCCATTTTGCGTGGTCATCCGAGCCACGCAGCGGAGGTCTCACCATTTGCAGATATTTTTAGATAAAAGGCAGCACAAATTATACTCAGATATTTTAAGGCTCTGTGTGTGAGCCCGGCCACTGAGACTTGAACCCACCACCTCCCGCACATGACCTCCCTCACAAAAAACCGGTGCCAAACCAATTGAGCTAACCGAGGCGGTTAAACTAGGTCCTGAAAAATGACTAAATTTCCTTTTGCCCTAGGGTTGAAATGCCTTAGCGACGAATCCTGTAAAAGCGAGTAATCGTAACCACCTACATTACGAAAAATCATGTCAAACCAAAGGCTATATAATTGACTGGACGTATAAATCGATTTAGTGTTTACCCAATACCTTGACCCAAATCGTTTCCTGTAGCAAGGAAAATACTAAAATAAAAAGTGGATATAAATCAAAGATTATACTTATTCATTTGTCTCACGATCGTGGCAGTTGGGAGGACCGCGACGTTTCGACTGCTACTGCTAGTCTTTATCAGGCGATGTTGTAGACTGGAAGGTGTTTTTTTACGTTTTACTTGTATGTCGTCAGTTTGGCTCCCTTGAAGAAGCCATATTAGATTCAGCTCCAATAACATCAATAGGGACAACGGAATTGAGATTCCGGAAGGGTGGATACAGAACATTCGAAAGGACTCCGTCACGCCCACCACCTACATCCTATAACCACCCCGGCCCGATCCTCGAGGAAGCCCACTGACGGTACTGAGACCAACAATCTCAAATACATGCGCGGGTTATATACTATCTTCATCTCCTTTGCATTTATGAGAATGTAACAACATCAATGGTGAACACCTTTATTTTAACTATTTTATTATAATTTCGCCGCCAATATGCAACCAAGAATGATTTATAGTCTTTGATCATATTACAAATCAAAGAGGTTCCAGTCTGTTTCTAGTCAAATCCAATAGTCCAGTAGCAGAGTCCGGAAAATAGGGGTTTCGTTCAACTCACAGGTTAGAAAAGGTTTGACACYGGATTTTAATAGCAAAAGACCTCTTGAATAACCCAGAGCAGTTTTTAATGTTGAAATGTGGTACAACTAGTGGTCTATCATCAATGCTGCGTTCTGATTTGATGAGCTACTAGTAGGATACGAGGTATAGCCTATATTAGTAGCAAAAAGTGCCGGTTTTGAAAACCAAAACATTAGAATTAGCTTTGATTCAAAACTTATTTGCATCTATATATTTGACGGACTGGTTGCATTTGACTAAAACAATAGACCAGTTTCGAGCACAAAAATTTCCGGACACGTGTGGACGGGGCCTTAGATGATAAATAACCAAGAATAATTACCTGACAAGAGGCACAACAATAGAATCTTTATACCCTGGGAAACTGAATCTTTCTCAAGTGTAAATCAGATTAGACCAGATTTAATAGCCTTTTTACCTACAAGGCGGCTACCTAGAATTCTATTGTTTTAACCGAGGGGGCAACTGTTGACTATTTATAGACTGCACAGGTGTCAGGAATATTTATTTATTTATTTATTTAATCATATAAATTTCTTTCGACAGTAAGAAAGTATGTAAGTGATTTACAATAGGGAACTGCATTAAAAAATACACAAATAAAGTCAAAAGCGATATGTAAAAAAAGAAAATAAAGAATATATAAAATAAAAATAAACGAGTATTTAACGATTATTCGCCGAAGGCGAAGTGATTATCGGGGATTATCTACCGTGACGCGAGTCTTCGAGCGGCGAGGTAAATATTACCCAATGATCACTGAGCCTGAGGTTTTTGTTATTGTAAAAAACAAATTTACATCAGTTTTTTATGTGTCTGTCCTCTTATTGACGATAAATTGCGTCTTATCAAAGTAGTGTCGGCTACGCCTCGTGGATCCACACTACTTTGACAATGTGGTGACGCAATTTATCGTCAATAAGAGGACAGACACATAAAAAACTGATGTCTATTCGTTAAATAAGCGAGCGAGAAATTTCTAAGTTATCGTAAAAAGATCTTGTTACGTGTGTTGTACTTGTGGAAATCTTTGCCTTTGGGGAAGTTTGACGCATCTTCAGATACTTGGTTGTACATGTATATACAGCGTTGAAATTTTTTTCGCTGAGATATCTTTTTATATAACTTTACATTCTTCAATAAGAAGCACATCTAAGGAGCAATTGAGTTTGCTGGTAGGTGGAACAATATGCAAAACACCAAGACTTCAAATTATTTGAAAACTTAACCCTGCAACTCTGTGCTTCATAAATGTTCTACGTATTTGTCATCTTGGCATCCCACAATTCAAACTGTAAAAAAAGTTTATTGTTCCTGCCTGTAATGGATGCCATCACGTGAATTGAAAAACTTGAAGTCTCTTGGCTTCGATTAATATAAAAGAGTGGTAAAAAATGACAATAAAAAAGTGTTCATGTCTAAGAATAGAAAGTAAGAACACTCGTTTGGTTTCCACGGACAAGAAGAACTGGAGGCAAGTCTGCTGACAAGACTTCCAGCCAGCTCATATACATCATACATGACATTATTTCTACTTTGGGTACGGGTAAAGTCATCACAATTAGCCTTGCATCTTTGGAGTGCTTGCGAACTAATTCTCCAATACGAATATGCCTTAGTATACGTTTATCCATTTGCATCCCTCCTTCTTCGAATTCACTTCGAATTGGCAACTTGAGAAATTCCTCAACACTTTCCTTGGAAGGAGGCTCACGTATTCCTTTCACTTCTTCTATACTTGAAAAATCGATACGGAATTTCTTCAGCAAGTTCGCCATACGAACTATATTATCCTGAATGTTTCCACTAGTGGCATGTGTGAAGATGCGTAGTTTGCAGTTTTTCCATGAATGGTGAAGACTCAGAAGATAGGGAATTAAAATGGTGAGCCCACCATCATCTGACAGCCACCACACATCAATTGTTCCTCTTTGTTTGCCTTGGAAAGAAACAGGACTAGAAGGAGAATACTCCATGACTGGTTCTTGTCGGACAGGAAGTGGATCCACGGATGTTTCATGTGAAGGGGAAAGGGAAGGGGACTGCTTGCTGCTGACTTCTTTGGTTTTCTCAATCTCCACCGTCAAAGTCTGACTTATATTTGAATCAGAGGTCCTAAATTCACTTACCGAGAATTCTCTTGTTGCAAGCGAGCCAACTTCAACTTTAGTGCTCCCACTAGGAAAGTCAAGCTCGCTAGTTGGAGCAGCGGAGTCAGACACCGAGCTCGTATCCTTCTTGTCCGAATTCAAATCAACATTCTTTGCAACTACAAATTCTTTTTTATCATCATTACTTTGCTTCTGCTTCCCCTCAGCATCGTCTCCTATGCTGTCAAATATTTCTGCCAAGAGACTCGAGCTTTCTGGCGTTGCGGTTCGCTCGACGTGGAAAATTTTCCTGCTCGCGTCTTGAGGTTTATCAGAAAATACTTGACTTCCATGACTTGGGCTTTCAGGTCGGATGGATAAACTGTCCTTGCTGCCAGATAGATTCCTGGTCTTTGGAAGGAATCGTTCCTCCTCCTTATCACCCATCCAGTCGTCGTCATCACATTCTTCTTCTTCCATTTGATAYTCCTCGCTCATGCGCAGTATAGCAACCCCGTAATTCATTTCGAACGCGTCGTTAATGATGTTGACGTATTCTGCGATTTCAGAAGGCGGTGCTCGTATCCAGTTGTTTTTGAATCCGAGTACGAGTGTGTTTGGCTTCAGTTTGCCGATCCCAGCAATCTGTAGCAAGCTTTGGACACCTTCACGGAGAGTCGGCGCTGAAAAAAAGCAAATCACAACATTTTTATTAGAAAAAATTTAACATCCGACGATTGCTCAACCGTTAAGGATGGCTACTGGCAACAAAATGAAAAAAAAAGACAATCTAAATACAAACGCTGTAATAAAGAAATAGATAAAACCGCCCTTTGGCGAACTCGTGGTCGACAGGTAATGATCTTTGCAGAGATTTTTGAAAAAACTGAAAAGTACTTTTTTGCGATTAATCTTTCGACCATGAGTCTTTAAAAGTGAATATAGGATAATAATGATTAAATCGAGTTAACAAATCGCGCTATAAACCAAGTCATATCTATAATAAAACATAATAAATAATTAATGATAAATAATATATAATAGTAACTTCGAACAAAGACAACATTTCAGAACAGCCACTTACCTGTACATATCGTATGGAAGGCATGTATCTTTTGTTTTCTAAGCCATCGATTCTCATAAGCCGAAGGCTTACAAAACTTGCCAACTTTGACCTGGCCGCAAATCATGAGTCCAACATTACGAGTCATCTGAGACACGATGTACGTGAGATTCGGGCGTGATGATGGGGCCCCAGTCAACACTAAACACTGAGGTCTAAAGTTCTTCACGTGATCTTCTACTCTGGCAAGGCGGTAAGCAAAGCGTAATGCCCGGATGTATGTGTACGCCTGTGTAGACGATCCCCAGTTTACCTGTTGAAATCAAAGACGATTTTTTACTAAGATAACTTAAAAGAAATCCAATGCTACCCGGATATGGTACCCAGGGTATAGTACCCGGAGTCCCGGGGGGGTACTCCCATATATGGACTATACGGGGATGATTCGCTGAACAGGGTATGGTTTTTCGAGCTTCTTGTCATAAACAGGATATGCAATTTCACTCAAGGTCCAAGTTCTTCCTGAGTTTCTTGTCATATTCAGGGTTTCTACTTTCGTATTGACCGAAACTGGTTATCATGGTCTTAAAAAAACAATACGCGAGATGACATGATAATTGAATCAGGAACTCACTGCAATTAATCAATTAATCATATCTTTTGTCATAAACAGGGTCTACAAATTTGATTTTTTTTGTCATACACAGGGTACCCCTTTCAGAATCCCAGCGGAACACCCTTACCTAAATTCTGGCGGAGTACCCCCCCCCCCCCCCCCCCCCCCCCCCCCCGCCCCCCGGGCCCGGAGTACCATCTTAGGATGTAGTTGGTACCATCTCGACCCTTTCGCTTTGGATGTAATTAAGGTGGCTCGACTGGGTTTTGTTTGTGGCGTACCTTCGAAGTTTGAAGGGGAAATGCGTCGCTGCCAATAAGTTAATTTCAAATAAATTATTATGACAGGCCTAGAGATAGATTCAAGTTTTACATGATATACAATTTATCATGATCGGAGTTACCATAGCAATACAGTGACGTCATGTCATTTTTTTATACATTCCATTTTTGGCGAAATCAGACGTTTGTATTAAAAAATTGTTTAACAGAACTTAAAGTTCATATGTTTGTCTTCAAGTTAACGAAGTTTCGAAGATTTGTATGGAAGCGTTTCGAAATAATTGCCGTCGGAACTTTTGGGCAACAAAAATGTAAACAATCCAAAGCAATTAGTTCATGTGACCGAAACCTTTCCTTTCTGGACATGGGAAAAGCTTTTTTGGGGGTCATAGTGTTGTGTTACTATTCCACTAGTCCTTCTGAGAAATGGAAAGAAATCGCGTTATTCGATTTCGAGAAATATGATTTCAAGCCTAGTTAGTAAAGTTGTGCCTTTTGATGTCTTGTCAAAAATTTCATTTGTCTTTACTAAAAACAGTCAAACTCAATAATCCGATGATGAATTTTTTTTAAACTTCCAAGTCAGTTACTTTAGATAACGCATTTATATACCCTAAAGTTTCAAGTTCATTGAAATAATTAAAAACCGTCAAATAATATTCTCAATTCCGTAAACATTTGTATCCTAATTCTAAATATGCAACCGCTTTCTTCACTCGCACTTTGTTTATATCGTTACGCCTTTCWATTGTCCAGAATATTTCCAAAGTAGTGCATTCCAACACCTCACACTTTACATCGAAGCCTGATTGCTTTCCGAAACCCTACCGACTATGATAATTTGTGATTGCAA